GCACACGCGCCGCGGCTTGAGCACCGCGCGGGGCTTGCTGCTCTCCCGCGACGCCTCCAGGGTCACGTCCCGCTTGGTGTTGCGGTCAAACATGCGGAAGAAGTTGTTGTAGGCCCCGGTCATGATGACGCTGGCGGGAGAAGGAGAGGCGTTAGGCGGGGCCGCGCAAGAAAGAAGAAATACCCGGGGCTGCAGGGCCATCTCCCCAGGACGGGAGCCCGGGGAGCAGACGGAGCCACGCCTGCCTCCGTCCCCACTTTCTCTGGGCGTCTCCTGTCCTCCCTCATCTCGTCTGCAGCCTCAGCACACAGGCTCAGAGCCAGGAGCCGAGACCCCGTTAATACTCCGCCCCAAACATCATAAAAACATTCTCTTGGACTTTGCCCTTGAGTCCAGGAGCGAGAGCCCTAGACTTTCAATGAGACTAGGCAACACCAGAGCGAGAGCAAAGGGAAGTAAACACAGAAGGCTGCAAACTACACGGAGGGCTATGAACTCCGCGCTGACAAAGGGCGGGCTCCGGAACCAACCAGACCCGCCCTCGGGGCAGGGACCCGGGGCCTCCTGTTTGAGCCCTCGAGTGACTCAACGAATGTTCTTCGCACGCCACCGATGTGCCAGTGTTCACAGACCTCCCCCGTCCTGCTAGAGAATTTTATATTTGTCTATGCACCTCCCACCCCTTCCCTCACCTCTCCCAAGGAGAAGGGATTCCTGCTGGACCAGAGAAAGGATGTTAGCCTACATGGTAAGAGCTGGGAGAGAAAGAACACCAGCTCCATGGGCCTGGGCCTAGAGCAGGGGTTTGGGGTTTTGGAGCATCTGGGGGTGGGGCAAAATCACTGGGAGGCGGGAATGGCTTCCAGGAAGCAATGCTGAGGGTAAGGAAGGCGTCTCCTCCAATGTTCTGCAGGAGAGGTGGGTACAGACTGGGATTCCTCCTCCCTCTGGGGCATGAGCTGTGCTTCCTGAGAGTGTCAGTGCTCCGAGGCGAGCCATGAGCTCCCCTAGGTTTATAAGGGTTACGCACACGAGCTAGGTCTTCCGTATCACCCAAGTTACAGGGATAATCCCGTGCAGAGGAGGGGGAGGTGCCCAAAGGCAGGGCTCCAGCTGGCTGGACCAGGAGAAACTGTCCTGCTCGGCACTGGGCTGGGCAGGGTCAGATGCTCAGGGTCCCTGGACGATGCTGAGTCACAGGCCGAAAGTGACACATGTCCTTGTCGCATGTTACCTTCTCACGGGAGAACCTGGGCTGATAAACTGACACCAGGAGAGTACAGTACGCGAGGGCCCAGCCTGTAGCATCTCTGTGGGAGACTCACCTCCCCAGCCCACCTGAGAGTGGGCAAGTTGTGATTGGAAGTCACCTGTCACCTCACCTGTGGACCATCTCTTAGTGATGGTCCCTTCTGGATGGTGATGGCCAAGGTATGGAGTAGGGAGGCCCCTCTGCTGCCTGGTCCCTGAAGCTGCCCAAGGAGAGGGGTCTCCCCAGCGGAGGGCAGAGGGTGGAGTGACACCTGTCTCCTAATGGGGTAAGACAGCACTATGTCTCCCCTCTCACTGTGAAGTCTGCCCCTCCGAGTTCCGATTCCTCACAGAAAGGACCTTTGACTTGGCTTGAGGCCTCAACAAGTTGGGGCCAGGAACTCCCTTTTGGTTCCAGCCTATAAGCAGCTTCGGGGGCTCCCGTGCCCAGGCTATGTAGTTCCTGGAGGTGGCCGCGCGCCGATGAGGCCCGCCGTGTGCCAGGGCCCACAATCGGCAGTGTTAGTGTTTGGTGCCACGTCCCCTGACACCCAGACTGCTTTCTCTGACCTTGTGTTCAGAGATCAGTGGGTGGGTGTTGGGAACAATGAGGATGGAAGACCCCCTCCATCAGGTGCTTTTCTGGGGGCCTAGGCAGCAGGGGGCGAGGCTCACCTGGGCCCCAGCAGAGGGCAGAGGGCACATGCCAACTGGGCGACTGAAGAAGAGTTCCTTAAAGAGGCTGTTCCCAAAGGTTCTGGAAGGTTCTAAGGGAACACAGGGAAAGTGCTGTGCCCTGGGACGGGTACATTTGGAAATTCTGATACCACCTGAGGCATAAGGGGTGAGGGGAGGGAGGAATAAATACCCTGCCTCTCTATTTATTCTCAGACATTCCAGTCTCTCCGGTGGTCAAGCCCAGCCAGAAGCCAGCAGGCGCGGAGGCCTGCCCACACAGCCCCTGGGCTCAGCCTCCAGGCATACTCTCTGGGGAGTGGGGTGGGGCTGGGAGCTGGGGGGCAGGTGGAGACCCCTCCCAGCTCACCTCACAGCACCGATGCCCCTGGGTGAGCGTCCACCTGTGCCTCATCCTCCACACCAGGTGGGGGCTCCTGGGGCAGATGTGTCTTGGGTGAGTCCCCAGGGCCTGGCCTGGCCTCCTAGCAGGGAAGCGGTCCTTGAAGGGAAGACAGCCCCCAGCAGCCAAGCAGCAGCAGAGCGGAGCCCCAGGGTAGGGAAGGAGAGCTCCCGGCACAGGTGAGGATGAGGGAGGGCGCAGTAAAAGCTCTGTAAACCTAACGGACTGAAGGGCTAGAAGCTTCTCTTACTCATGGCCAGACCTGCAGGTCCAGGCGGTACCTGCCCCCAGGAGGTGCTCACTAAGTATCTGCCAAATGAACGAATGAATGAATGCATGCATGCCGTGGAAAGGTCGCACAGTCACAGCTGCCCTTGGGAGTCTTAGAAAAGCGTGAAGTGACCTGCCCAGTTATCCCCCTGGACACGGACAGGGGACAGACCAGAGGTGAGCAGAGGGGAGCTATCTGGGGGATCTCTGTGGGTGGCCCTGGGGCAGGAGGAGGGCAGTTAAGTGGTTCTACCTTTTTAAGAGATTTATCTCATCTCTGGAGGTGAAGGGAGGGTGGGTGGAGAATTCTAATGTACTTTCTGGCTCCGCTCCTTTCTGTTCTAAAACCTTAATTCGTGTGAATAGACCTGTGTGCTGTAGAGACAATGACATAACACCTGTGTGGAGGTGCGGGGCGGCGTAAGGAGCCCACCCCGCGATGCTGCGGGGAGCGGTAGGACGCCCTCCACGTCCCTCCTTCCCAGAGAAGCCCCTCTTGTGTCCCTAGTCGGCTTGTCCAGGGGGAGGGTGGGTTGGCTCTGATGTCCCCTAAATTATGTCCCAACAATGTGATTCCCCAGAGTGGGCTGAGCCTCAGGACATCCCAGAACCAGAGCAGATCTGGCGCCTGAAAGTCACTGGAGCCCAAGCCCGGTGTCAGTGTGTGTGTGTGTGTGTGTGTGTGTGTGTGTGTGTTGGGGGGGCACTTGCCCCCAGGGATCACCAGCCAGGATAAACTCTGACCTCCCGACTCAGGGCAGCATCCCCATCAGGCCTGTTTTGTTCGGGGGACAAGAGGAGGGCCTGCCCGTGACCCTGCCAGGTGCTCCCCGTCACCCCCATGGCTGATGTCCACTGGCGTCAAGCTGGGTCACAGAGAGGGCCCCTGCCAGCATGGCACAGGGACTTACACGCAGGAGGTCAGTGTGGATGGAGCCAGGTGGGCCCCTTCATGAGTGAGGGACTCCTGCTTTCGCTCCTTCCACAGCCCTCCCTGATTACCCATGGTGCAGCCCGGGGACACTGGGGGACACTGCTGAGGCAGCGGCAGGAGCAGGTGGACTCTCTCCCCCCCAGGGAGAGCCGGGGCTCCCACCCTCCCTCGGCTCCCCCTCCCTGTGCCGGGCTGTGCGGGTAGGGCTCTCACGTTGTCCTGTGTGGTGGTCGCTCTCAGAGCCTGTGCAGGAGAGGGGTCGCCTCGAGGGGCGCAGACCCACCTGGGAGCTTGGAAAATCACACCAGCCCGGCTGGGGGTGGGCACAGCAGCCTGGGGGTGGGGTGAGCTCTGGTTTCCAATCTCACAGGCTAGGGGGGAATCTGAGAGCCCCAAGGGCCAAGGCCTCCCCTCCCTGGGCCTGGAGCAGCTCTACAGACAGAAAAGGTGGAGTCCACCAGCTCAGCCTGGGTCCAGGAGCTGGACAGGGGCCCTGATGCTGGCTGACCTGGGGCTGCTAACTGGCCTCACTGTCAAGATGCGGACACAGACCGTTCTCTCTCCACCTGGTTTTCTTGGGCCCAAAGACAAAGGCAAAGGCAAAGGCATGCGCTCAAGGGCAGGCAGTGTGGACGGGTGTGCCCCAAGGGCAGGCAGTACGGACGGGGTCCGCCATCTGGGTCCAGATCTCAGCTCTGCCCTTGACGCGCTTCCTAGCTCTCTGGGCAGCTTTCCTACCTATAAAATGTGGTAACGAAGGACCCCAGCCCTTGGTGAGCATGGATTAGATAACACGGTAAAACACTTGAGAGCAGTGCTGGGCTCAGTAAATCCCGCCTCCTGTGTGTATTAAATGCTAACCGGTGTTTCTGGGTTCTAACCATCCGTGTGGCCTGAAGCCCCACTGGGCTGTCTGTGACAGGGAGCCCCAGACTAGGGAGGGGGCTGGAGGAGAGAGTGGGTGATGGGTTCCCAGAGAGAAAGGCAGCTGGTCCTGGTTCTCTGGGGAACAGCTCGCGGAACCCTGTGGGTGTTTTCACACAACACCCAGGCTTTTCCTGAGCCGCCGGGAAAGGGAGAGTGAGATCTTAAAGTCATCTGCAGCCCGTGCAGTGGCCAGTCCTCCTTCCATGCGGGCGCAGGGTCCAGCTGACACCTCTGGGGAGGACGGAGCCCCCTCCCACACCTGCGGCGAGGGGCAGTCTCTTTCATCTGGGAACACCAGGTCCCAGCACCCTGCAGACACTGCCAGGACAGAGTGGCCCACTGCTCCCATTCTGAAGTGTTCTCTAACATTCCAGAAGGTTCTTTCAACAGGGAAAAGGGCAGTCCCTGCCCTGGCTGGCATCTAGGCAAGTTGCATCGTGGGGATCACGACCCAGGCTGCACTTGTCCCGTCTCTCCTCTTCCTCTGGGGAAAGGCGCCTGCCCCACCCCTGTGGTTCCAGAGGGTCTGTCAATCATGGTGCTCCACCTTGCCCCACCGCTGGCCAGCTGTGGCCTGCGATAATCATGTCCATGCTGACTGGCCCAAAGTGAGCATGTGACCCAAACAAAGCCAATCAGATCCTTCCATGAGAATGTTCATAGACCCAGGAGAGGGACTGTGGGCTATTTGGGGTCGCTGTCCCTAACAGCAAGGGGGAGCCATTTGCAGTGGGAGAGGATGAGGCTAATGAGTAAGAAGAAGCAGGGAGGCACAGAGATGGGAGTGGACAGAGAGGGGATGGCCCCAAAGGCCCAGCATGAGTCCTGGGGCAGCCTTGCCTGGAATTCCTCAGAGCAAGCTTAGGCTTGTCTGATTCCTGCAACTGGAAGACACAAATCCCTTCCTCCCAGGCAGAAGAGATCAAGGAGAGCTTCCTAGAGGAGGTGGCATTTAACGTGGGTCTTGGAGGCTCGGCCGGGTTCTTTCAGACAAGACAGACAACAGACCCCTGTGTGCAAATCATCGGGCTATCTGCTGCCAATACGGAGCCGTGGCCTCGCCAAGAGCTTCACACACAGGGTCTCATTCTCAAAGCAGCCCCTGAAAGTCATGGTTTATTAGAACCGCTTTCCAGGTGAGCAGACTCAGAGAGGCCTGGAGGCTTGTTAGGGCATGCAGCTGGAGTGCAGTCCAGAGGGCGTCTGCCCCCAGAGCTGCTGCCCTCTCTTCGCCCCCGGGTTGCCCATCTAAGTCTTGCTGGAGTTGGGTAAGGGACGCTGCGAGGGCTGTCAGATATCCACTAGCTCCATGCTGCCTTCTACACAGCCCGGACCCCGGAAGCTTCCCATGAACATGAGCAGGCCAGGACACGCTGAGCCTGAGGGATTCAAAGGTTTGCTTTGGTCTGTGAGGATGGGGTCCCTGGAGGACAAAACTTGCTTCTGCCCTTAGCCTCTGAGCTCCTGGAAGGCAGGGCCCAGGCTTTATCCTCTTCTGTGAGGTATGCCAGGCTCACAGAATGCTTTCAATGAAGTGGAAGGAGGTGGTATACCCTGTGCCTCCCAGAATGTTAATGGCTATCGACTGGACACTCCTGAGGCTCCAAGTGAGGGGTTCAGGATGGGCTGAGCTACAGTCCCACTCCCAGGGGCACCCCAACCAGTGGGGAAGGCAAACAGACGCAAGGTGAACACATGGAATAAATGCAAAGACACAGAAGGAAAACCCAGGAGGCCGGGGTGGAAGGTGGTCAAGGAAGAGAGGATCCCAAGGGCTTCC